TTACGGACACATCCACGACCAAAAAAAAAGATCAACTTTTTTTTCCAAACAACAACAAAAAAATGAATGATTATGATAGGAAAGGGAAAAATTAAATAGCTACATATCATTAACAAATTAATTGTTCTTCAAAAAATACCTACAAATTTCTCTGTACATTCTTTACGCACAGCGTAATGATGGTCTTAAAGTTACCTATATAAAAAAAAGTGTTCTCAACGATTATTTTCTCCTACTGAATGCCAAAGCTTGGAAGCCCAGTCCAGTGGAGTGACTGTGGCTGGAGAAGGGCATCCTGCCACCCCAGACGGGTAGCAGCCTGACCAGCATAACCAGGAAAGCCAGACCCAACTGCCCACCCACCCAACTCCCCAGCGGGCCCAGGCATCTCTCCTCCCACGAGCCAGCTTAGGGCTCCTGTGCCCCTCACACCTCACAGCTGAGGTGGCCACACCCATGTCACCCAGTCAGGTGACATCTCGAGGCCCCTAGGGGGCCAGGCTGGACACAGACCCCTGGGGCAGGGGACAGAAACGCTCACTGACCAAGAGGAGGAGCAGCTGGGGGGCCCACAGCCCTGTCTGTCGTAGGTGCTTCTAATATCTAATTAGTAGCTGTGAATATGGCAAACGATAAATGCAGCTGTAACTGGATAGTCAGGAATGTACACGGCCTTGGCCCCACGCACCAGGAAGCACACAGAACTCCATGGTGTGGATCAACAGCAGTCTGCGGCCAGCCAAGGAAGCAGGCTGCCCCAGGGGAGCTGGGAGACATCCAGGTCCCCGGGGTGCGTTACCAGGCAGCAGGGATCACAGGGGCAGTGGTGCCGGCCACCTGCAGCCCACGCTTGCTCCTGCCACTGCCTGCCAGTTGTGGCCGCCCGCGCTCCTTGTGAGTAGAGTATCAAATACAGAGCTCAGAGTACAACTGTACCAGCAGTAAGTAGATCTAGGACTGGGACTGACAAACTAGTTCTGAAAAGAAGCCATAAGTACTCAGGGTTGCTCACTGTCTATACAATTAATAGAAACCAGCTATTTTTTTTCCTCCATTAAAACACTAGTCCTCTTTAAAGCACTACGGTGCCCTCGACTTCAGGCTCCAGCAGCTGCAGTGGTCCCAGAGGGTGAATGCCCATGTGGCGGAGCCTGTGACCCAGGTGCAGCCCCAAATCCAGGGAAGACTGCAGCCCGTGTGGCGCCCCAAGCTCCTCTAACCTCACTGCACCCCAACACGGAGGGTCAGGAGCAGCTGGCCGCCCTGCGGTCCCAGAACTTTGCCCTCAGGGTGCCAGCATCCAGCAGCAGCTGCCAGGCAGAGCCCCCCTCCTCCAATAGTGCAAATCAGACACCACACTTCTCTTCAAGTATACACACGCACACACACGCACACACACTCTGAGCCTTGGGAAGCACAAGAGAAGAGCACAGAGCGCCGGGACCCCCGAAGTCATCATGGCTTGTGGCTGAGGACGATGGAGTCCTGACCGGCCGCACACTGTGCCAGAGGTTTCTTTGGTAACCGAGGCAGGAAACAAGCGCCACAGAGAACGCCCGCTGACCTGCGCGCCGCCTCCTGGCACACTGAGGGACCCTTGTGAGGACACCAAGCAAGTATGAGACAGAAGAGCACAGAACTCCACAGCACAGGGTTGTGGACAGACCACCCCTTCCCTTCCCCCCGCCCACCCTACAATTTTTTTTTTTTTTTTTAAAGTACGGACTGTTCAAAGCTGAGGCAAACCATGCAGACGGGCGTGGTACCGGGTGCCCTCAGGAGACCACGGACGGGGAGTGGCCGTGGCTAACCATGTGGGCGGAGGGACTAGCCGACTGGCCCCGGCGTGAGGCTGACTCAGGGCTGCTGGATGCGCCGTCCTTGGCTGCCTTGATCTGCAGCCACGTGTCACCCAGGGCTTTGGCAAAGTGGTCATCCACAGAGCCAGTGATGGATACAGAATTGGGTGCAGGCTCCGGCTCCTTGTAGTTCTTGCCCAGGCTCCTGCGGAAGTGCTCCTCCACCACGGGGTCACAGGCAAGGGCAGTACTGGGTGGTCTCTGGTAGCTGGCGGGCCCAGGTGTGCCGCAGCCACTGTGAGCGATGGGACAATGTGAAAGGTTGCAGTTGCGGCGCCTGCTGAGGCGCAGGTGATCACAGAGGGCCGGTTCTGTTGCCGCTCCACAGGTGTGAGCGTGGGCGAGAGGCCAGCCGCTCTGCTGGCATCCCCACTGCTCTTTGTCAGGGCGAGGGGCTGTTCCACGCCAAGGCTGGGCAGGGACGCATACAGGTGGCCACCATGCAGGCCCATGGTGGGCGCCACGGCACGCTCCATGGGGCTGCGGCTATGCTCCCGGGGGTCCTTCCGGCAGTCTCCATTGGTAGTCTTGTTCAGGTGGGGGCTGAAGATGCGGCCCATCTTGGCAACGTGGTCAGCTTCACAGTCAAGGTCCTCGTCCCCTGGTTCCAGGCTGAACTTTCTCTTGCTGGGGCTTATAGGGGGCGGTCCTGTGCAATGGCTGCTGAGGGCAGAGGCCACCGGGAGGGTCTGCATCCTGGGTTCTCCCCGGAGAGCAGCTTTTCGTCATCAGCATGCACCAGAGAGGCGGCTCTGGACAAGACATCCAACGGTGTCTCCATTCCTGACTGAGCCGGCTGACTCTCAGCTACCTCCGGCCCCGCGGGGCGCACGGGGCGCGCGGACTGCAGCGCGAGGAATCCGCGGAATGAGCGCCGCCCCCCGCGCTGGGCTGTATACATTTCTTTACCATTTGTATTTCTTCGTCTGAAAAGCTGGTGTTCATCTCAGATGCTCATTTCTAGATTGGTTCTTTACATTTGGATGGGCAGGCGTCTGCTTTTTTTTTTTTTTTTTTTTTTTTTTTTTTTTTTTAACACATCCTATGCTCCACATATTTATCTTTTATGTGAAGGACAACTGGAAAAGATTTTTTCCATTCTGTGACCTGTCTTTTCCTTTTATTGGTGATTTTCTTTGCTGTGTAAAGGCTTTGTAATTGGGAGAGATCCCAGATGCTTATTCGTTGTAATATTTCCTATGCAATCTTGGTTTTGATCATGAAATCCTTGCCTACACATATGTGTTAAAGAGTACCACCTATTCTTTCTTCCAGAAGATTTCACCCTTGTTTTACTATTTAGACCTTTGATTCATTTTGACTTTAGTGCATGCGCATAGATATTGGCTTAATTTTAGTGGAATGTGAAAGTGTCTTTTGCCTCCATCATTATTGAAGAAGCCATCCTTTTTCTCACCAGCAAATGTACTTGGTCTATTTGTCAAAGATGAGGTGTTATTTGGTGTGGTTTCTCTATATTCTAAGCTATTCCATTGATCCCCAGGTCTGTCCAATGTCACTGGTTATTAGACAGATGCACATTAGGACAATACTGAGATCCCATCTTACCCCAGAAAGCATGGCTTTTATCAAGAAATCAATCAATAACAAATACTCAAGGGTCTGTTCAGTAAAATAAATCTTTCAGCAATGCTTTTGGGATGGGAGGCTGGTACAACCCCTGTGGAAATCACTGTGGAAATTTCTGAAAAAACTAGAATTAGAGATTCCATTTGATCCAGCCATTTCTCTTGTTGTTAATCTCTCCAGAGGAACTAAAAAATGTCGTACCTCAGTGATATATGCACGCTCATGTGTGTAGCAGCTCAATTTGCAATAATTAAATATTGGAAACTACCCAAATGACCTTCAACTGAGGAATGAATGAAGAAGATCTGGGCGTTTTGTTACAACTGGGCACTCTTTGTCCATAAAAAAGAACAAAATTGAGACTTTTCTGATTATATGAATGTGTCTTGAGAACACACAGTTAAGTGAGACAAACACAGCTGACATAAATAAATATCATTGTTTTTCTCACATAGGATATTGATTTGTAAATAATGAGCTAAGTGTGTAAAAGGTATTGTAAAATAGGAAGAAAATCTTCAAAAGAAAGAGGTACTAGGAAAGGGACATGGGAAGAAAGTGAGGAAAAAAAGAGTTTATACTAGTAAATTAAATAAATCAGACATGTATGTTTAAATATCACTTTCTTTCTGAAGTCAAAGAGACTGAAAGGATAAATAAGGAACAAAATATATACCAGATACTTTGAAATTGGAAGAAAATATTCAATTGGAAGGGGAACAGGGCTGGGAGGAGAGGAAATGAAGAACACAAAAAAGAAGAGAAGTGAAAATGAAAGAAAGTTTTTGTAACTAATGAAGGGAAGAAGCATTGAAGAGAGGAGAAGGGTTCAGGGCAAAAAGAAAAGAGAAAAGAACAAGAAAGATGTACAGGGCTGGGAAGATAGCTCAGTAGAATAAGTGCCTGCCTGGCAAGCATAGGGTCCTGAGTTCAATCCCTTGTAACACACACACACACACACACACACACACACACACACACACACAAAAGATGTACGGGTAAAAACTTTCTCTAATGAATGTTGTCATCATGTATGCCTAAGATGTACCAATAAAATTTTAAAAATTGGTGGTGCAGAGAGACAGAGTCAAGGACAGAGGGAAAAAAAAGGCAGAGCTGAGTCTTTAATATAGGGTCAAATATTATCCTTTGCTAATTCTTTGTTAATAAAATTAATAAAAAACTGAAAGAAATAAAGGTGAATATCACACTTAAAAAATATTCTCAGTGTTTCATTTTCTTCCCAGCCTGTAGACCTCTGGGGAGATGAAGTTCACTGTCATAACATGAAGGATTACTTATTTCAATCTCATGTGTTCCACAGAACACTCATCACTGCCCTCTGCTTACCTGCTATTGGCACGAATGACAGGCAGGAGAACGGTGGGCACAGCTTCCTAGTGCAAAGGGGAATGGAAGGCTCAGTGAGAGCTGCTTACTGGGCTGTGAGCTTTTAAGGCAAACACTGTTATGGAGAGGACATGCCCAGGTGATGAGGTAGTGCATATGTGAGCCTCCCTTAGTGATTCCTGCACTATAAGCAGTGAAAACATGAGGAAAGCTGTCAGTGCACCTGAGTTTTTGCCTGTCCAGGAAGGGTAGGGTAGACCTTGGGGCGCATTCTACATCAAAGTAAGTAAAATGATAACAAGGATATTCTCATGGGCTGGTCCATTTCTACACATGTTGTTTCTTTCATAATAAAATCTTGGAATCAATAAATGTAAACTCTTCAAATTTAATACTCTTTATTACCAGCAAGATTACCTAAGACAGAATTATATCATTCTTTTGAGAATAGCTTGCTGATATTTTTAGTGATATGACCCTGAATCTGTTGATTTTGTTTGGTAGACCAGATATCTTAACAGTGCTATGCCAATTGATCATTAACAGGACATGACCTCTATTGTTGTACATTTGGTATCCTTTGTTATAACAATTTTCATAGTTTAGCACACTGATTTTTTATGCATTTCTTTTGGAGTTATTCTGGAGAATATCATTTTTATCATTTTACTTACTTTGATGTTCTGGTATCCCCCATGATATTGTTTTTACTTCAAATGCCATCCCTTTGTAGCTGGCAGACAGGACAATATCTTAGGGCACACACGGACTGTGGAATTTGACTTCCAGTTCCCTCGATCACTCTTCTTCATTACATAGGAAAATAGGCAGGACTTCTGCCTTGATTTTATTTTTTGTAACAAAATAATCTGAACACTAAACTTTATCAGTTCATGAGAGAACCTAGGATTAATGTGTTTGCCTCTTCCTATATACAAACTCTTCTAGTCTTGACTCGCATCCGCAGCACCAGCAGGAACATGCATGGGAATTGGCATTTTGTACATGGCGGGTACAAGTGAGTGCCGCACCCCTGAAGGCATGGCAGGCAGACCAAGGACAAGAGCTTCGTCTCCTCAAGCTGCAGCAGAAGAAGCCCCAGCATGTCTTCTCTGCAACTTGCGAGTGTGTGGGTGGGAAGGAAATAGTCATCGTCTTCAGTGATATTGGTCAAAGAGAGGCCTCTTCCCAGGCTTTCTTCCAGTTGATGTACCAAGGAGTGCAGAAGAGCATTTCTAACCAAGCATTCTCCTCTGTTGTGTTATATGTCGTATTATACTGGAGAACTTATTATTTTGCAAAAGTAATCAATTACTGATTGACTTCCTGGATTGGTGTCATTGTATAGTATAGCACAGTTAGAATTTTAGTACTTCAGTATGCTTTGTGTGCCACAGAGACTTAATACAAGATTTTGTGTACGTTCATCATATACTCTCCATTTATATAATGGTTCAGATATTTAAATACTTATGGGCTGGGAAGATAGCTCAGCGGTCTAAGTGCCTGTGTGGCTCACACAAGGATGTGGGTTTGGTCCTTGGTATCTCATGCCATGCCAGCCTGGGACTCCAGCCGCACTGTTCTGATGACTGCAACTGGCATAGGTGGCACATCCCTGTGATCATAGCACTGGAGAGGCTGAGACAGGCCAATCACTATGAGTTTGAGCTATGTAACAAAATCCTGTATCAAAGAGCTAAAGAAATAAAATATTAAGAACAAAAACATCATGAACCAAAGTCTTATATGGTGTTTACCTAGTAGAGACACACAGCTATATTGGATCGGAGTCTGTCCTAATGACTATGTGGTAATTTCTGTAGACACAGTGTTTTAGGTAGACTACATTCATAAGTATCAGACTTGCACCTTCATCAGACCACTTGAAATGCAGTTCAGTCCAAGTTATGGTCTGACCCACATTAGGGCAGAACGCTTCTTGGGCTTCGAAAGTCATGCACATATGCAGGGAACTCAATCATACTCTCAAATACATTTGTGTCTTTTTTGGGTACGATTGAAAGTGTCCTTATTAATGGACTTAACAATCTTTCACTTATCTTCATGCAATTTGCTAAATGGGGTCTTGCAGGATAGCTCAGAGAGCTAAAGTGCCTCACTAGATAAGATTAGGTAAGTGCACGGAATGTGATTTAATTCCCCACACCACACGTTGAACCAGTTCCACCCCTCAGGCACACAAAATGAGCCAGCATGTTCCAGCGTGGTGACACGCCCCCATAATCCCAGAGCTAGAGAGGTGGAGACAGCAGGATCTCTATGAGTCCGAGCTGCATAGTGAAACCCTGTAATAACAAAATACATTCAAAAGTTACTAAAGCAAAGATATTCAGTACATTATCCTGCAAGTCTTAATATTTTTGAAACTCTTTGAAGATTTTGGACTTATAGTCAACTTCATTTTGACCAGCTACTTATCCAATGCTAATGATAACATCAGGTCAATATCTTTGAAACTAGAGATTATTGTCTTTCCTCAAGCTATGCGTATGTTAATTTTTAAAATTTATTCTTACAGAAATAAATGTTTCCTTGCACTTTTAACAGTCTATAAATAACATGACAAATTACAAGCCAAAACTGCTTCCTATAAAATAAGAGAAGTTCAAGTTCATATTGAGTCTCAACTCTGATGATCATCTAGAGTTTGATAAGTACAGAATGGCATGCATTGAAATATTGCAGCATTATTTAGAAGAATCACCTGTCCTGATACTCAGGCTATAAACATTGCCTGTGCTTCTGTGCTTGTCAATATTATGAGTGATGAAAAATACAAAAGCCATTTTCAGTTTGCTTTTCTGCTTCAGGGTGAGGGAAAAAGAGAAATAGTCCAAACAGACGCAGGTTCTCAAAGAAGCCTAAATCCTGGAGGTACTCAAGGATATAGGAGCAGAAATGCATTTCTCACAGCATATTAAATCATGGAATGAAGACATTTAAAAGAATGAAGCAGTGGGGAAGTAGGCTACATTATACAACTCAAAATGCATTGTGTTTTCGCACTGATGTTCAGTCACTAATTTGCGTGCCTTGGCAGTGGGGCAATAACTCGCACCCCAATCAACAGAGAGCAGGTGTGGCTGTGAGTTTCAATGCCTGAGACCGATACAGAGACAGCACAGCTATATAGGGAATGTCTTGTGGGCCTGTCAAGTGACAATTCCTGATCTTTCACTTTGGAATGCACAATGCCCGATATTTTTTAGTGACCTTGGAAGTTTCCCGACTATTTCCAGAGAAGCCTACCAGCAAGTCCTCTAGTGTAATTCACTAGAAGCACTTCTAATGGAATCTGTGACAGTGGCTCAGTGACAAAAACTTAGGAACAAATGTGCCCAGGAGGAGGGGTCACTTGGGTATTGCCATTAGTGGAACTGGATTACCTCACGGTGCCTCGAGGCACAGCAAATGATATGCAAGCACGATTTCTGTCTTTTGTTTTTCTCCTAATCACCAGACCTCAGATGTAGAGCCCAGGGCAAGAATGGTGGGGAACTTCTTCAGGGACATGGAGCAGGCACTGTTGAAAGCAGCCTGGGTATAGGAGTGTCCACCTGAGTCTCAAACGAGGTCATGCTGAAACACAAACAACCTATTTATAATGGGCTTAAACTGTAATTTTCCTCTTCAGTAAACTTTTGGCTTTGCATGCACATCTAGGATGTTGCCTTTCATTGCTATCTTCCTTCTCCTGCAGCTTCCTTCTTCAGTGAGCACGATTGACAAAGAAACCTGCATTTCCCGAAGAAGCACCAGTGTGCGCAAGGATGGAGACGTGGTGATTGGGTGTTTCTTGTATCTTTATTTCTATATCTACTATAGTGGTATGATTGATATACAGCCTTCTAGAGAATTCCACTTCATTCAGTAAGTGTCTCCTTGATGTGTCTGTTATCTTTCTGTAGATTAAGATAGATAATGCCTAGAGATCTATGCATATAGGGATCAATATTTTCTATAGTGTCAACTCTACTGTCCACCCTCATGTGTAGAACAGGCATAAAATTTGGATGCTTTTTATACATTTGAATGTGGAAAGAGAATATTCTTTTTGCTTGCTTGTATTATTAGCTTCTTGTTTTTCACTGTTGGAGCCTGAGGGAGACCCCACTCATCCATACTCTGGTCCATGCCCTTTCTTATACCTGAATGCCACTGCATGGAATTTGGGGACATTCTTCTTCATGATTGAGCCACTTAGTTTGAACTGAATGCTAAGTGGCTGTTGCCAAATATGCCCTAAAGCAGTGAGGGGCTTGCTGAAGTTTCTGTCATTCTCTAAGTATGAAATTCCTTACATTCTCACATTTTCTCTTCTGATATTTTTGCCCTTTCTGTTAGGAGTAACTTCTTCCTGAAAATATTTAGTTGCTACTTCAAATAAACTTTAGGGAGCTCCGGATCCCCTGCCTCTGCAAGCTGAGCCAGAACAAGAAATAAATCATCTGAGAGACTTTTCCTAGCCAAGTGATGCTTCTTCAGTTGGATTTGTGTATCTTTTCTGTATTCAGATTCTACTGTAGCAGGTCTGACACCAAACATATAGTTAAAATTGAATGTTCCTCTTGGTCAGAGAATTTCAGTGAATTATTTGTGCTTTTGTGACAAGAGGAGATGTCAGTAGAGCAAATGAAGTCTTACAGAGGATGCTGATCCACAGAGGCCTGGGAACTGCTGCTTATAGGAAGGGTTAAAACTAAATGCAGAAAGGTCTTCCTGGGTCCTAACACAGTGTTGTGACCTTGTTTTCAATATTACATATTGGTGGGCATCCTGATATGAGCAGACACTCATTGTCAGCCTGGCCAGCTCTCAAGGAGTTTCTTACCTGTCTAGAGGATGCAGGTGTTTGATCCCTCAGGTACCTGGCCAGTTCTACAGGGTTATAGTCTCCTTGCTTCTGGTCACACACAAAGTTGGGATCCTGTCCCTTTTGTTTCAACTGGAATTTAAGGTTGTTCCCTGGTAGGAGGACTAGTGGATCCCATCTTTAGATAGGACACTGCGCCTGGATATTTCCCAATTAGAGCCAGAAAAACAACATGAAGAGGCTGCTCAAAACTGGAATTGGAGTTTCAGGTATGGAATCTCTTCCAACCTGGTGATGTAAATTTTTCTCTGCTTTCCTTTTCTGTGCAATGATTTGTATGTTGGCTAGCAGTTCATTAAACTTTGTTTTATTTTTTACCTTTTTGATAGAGGTTTTTGTTACTTGTGAATCCAGGCCCATATATTACATGGCTGTGACTGTTCTTTCTTTAATGCACTGCATTTGGAAGCAAGGCTGGCTGAGTAAAATCCTGGGCCTTTCACTTCTGTATATGGGGTCTGTATGTGTCTCATATAATTTTTCTTTCATATTCACCATTAAACTCAAGACCATGCAATTGACAGGCAGTCATTTAATCCAATGAAGTATCTTCCCAGCCCCGCATTCCTTATAATACGCAGATATTTCCTCATATTTTAATTCCAGGACAGTTTTCCATGTTTACATAGTATTTGAAACAGGGACTTCCTATGCTGACTATGCCACCAGCAAATATCTGGGCTCAAGAGTTTCTTCTGCTTCAGCTTCTTGAGTAGGCAGCATTATAGACACTTGATGATGATACCCTGAATATGTGTTTTTCTTCCATCATTTTTGAAAATTTGTGTTTCTACAGATAGGAATAATATGTAAAGTTTAATTCTAGTACCTGCCACTGAATGTTTCTTGTTAGTGACAGATCAGATCTATTTTTGAAAGTTTAACTTAGAAAAATGTGCTGGAAATCACCTGAGGCCTTTGAGAGATCAGCTACTGCTCTCACTCATGGAAATTTTGAGAAGGATTTTGTTTGATCAGGAATGAACTTCAGCACAGAATGCACTGAAATGTGCTTTGTATGAAGAGGGAGATTCTGAATGGAGGATGGTCACTGCACGCTTAGACCTTACCAGGACCATGGAGGAGGATCATGAGAGAGTCTGCCTAATGGCTCCTGAGTGGATCCTAACAAAGACAGTCCAGTGAGATCAGAAGGCATCTGAGTGTAGTGGTATGATCAGCTATCAGCTCTTATCATATTCAAGACTAGCTCATGTATGTAGGATGTGTTTCTGTTCCTAGGAGGAGAGGATGAGCTGCCTACTCTTTTGTTGCCCTCTGCTGTCCCCACGTATGCTCAGAGGATCAGGTTGCAGGTGGCCCTTCTTTAGGCCTACACACTGTGAGTTCTGTCTGTGGCTGGAAAGAAGGCACTTGCAGGTCTGAGTGTGTGTGCCCAGGCTGATGCAGCCACCAGGAACATGAGTTTGGGGTATTAGGAGAGAATTTAGATTCCTGCTAAAATAAGACGGAATTAAATTTGGGGAAATAAAAATGTTTATGAATAAGCAATTCATATATTTCAGGTCAACTTTATATTGAGGAATCTGGTTTTAGTATTTTATTTATATTTATTTTTATTTTTTTGGCAGGACAGGGGATTGAACTCAGGATCTTGCACTTGCAGGGAAGCACTTATTCTACTGAACAATCTCTCTGGCCCTGATTTTAATATTTTAAAGAATAAATTTTTCATAAATGCAAATACAGGGGACATTTGATTTATACTTTAGCTTTGATAACACTGGCTTTTCTCCACATAATAGTAAACACAAAGTAGCTTTGTTCTGTCTCTGTTTCTATCAGTTTCTTTTCCTTACATAGTAATACAAATATTCACAAGAATTATTAGTGCTGCATAGCTTATCCTTTAAATATATCATAATTTAATTCTCACTCACTTTCGGGATGTTCTAAAATTTGTAATCAATGCCTTCTGTCATTTATAGAGGGCAATAGAGTTCTGATACTTAGTGGAAATGGTGGCTTATTAAAGCTAATGAGCGTTGGAGGGTAAAATGACTGCGTTTAAAGGTACATATTCTCTAAATTACCTTATGCATATTATCAAACCACATACTGCAACAAAATAATGGCATTTTCAACCGACTGTTCAGAGAAGTAACATTTCCTTAGCCTTTACGTTGGACAACTGGCCCAAGTAGAAGTTAAACAAGTGAGAGCATGTTGATAACATGGGCAGGTCCTTTATTAACATTCGCATTGTTCATACGGCTTTCATTACTTCATGAGTACGTCATTTAATTTCTTTTCTAAGATAAGTTTTTTTTATCTTAGAAAAAACTTCTAACTTTTAAAATATTTTCCACATTAAAGAAAAGAAAATTGTGTTGAGTAGTTATTTACAAATGATTTACTTGACATTTCACTCCTTGTAAGTATTTCTACATAAATCATGCTTAGCCAGAGAGAGATATGACTGTCTAGGTTAGAATCACATAACTATAGTTTGTAGTTTTATTATTTCTATTTGCACTACATCTCAATGTATAATACTGGAAATATTTTTTTCTGTTAAGTTGATTACTTTTATATTCTAACCAAATATTTAGCATCTCCAGAATTTCTTTTCGGAAAAATATGCATTCATTTGAATTTAGTTGTCAAGATATTTTTCACTATGAATAACACAATTTAGTATTTATGAATTTCAATTCAAACATGATAAAAGGATAGATGATAAGAGAGAGATACATAGAAATTATATAGATAGATGATAGACTGAGAATTTTAAAAATTTTTTGCCATAATTTTATTGATAAACAAATAGCAATGAGAGAGTTTCAAATCAAATCGGTAGAACAGTTTCAATAATTAACACACTGCATACATTCTTCTTAGTGGTTAATTGCTGTACAAGATGCGGACTTGATATCCTATTTACAAACACCATTAGAACAAATCATTCTATTCATTAAGAGAATGTAACTATATATCTACCCTAACCACTTTGAATACACAGATACAAAATGGACATTCATCTGTATACCCTTTTTTGTTAAGTTCCGTTATTTGAATATTATAGTTGTGTAACCTCAGCAAAATATTCTAAAAGAGTCCAGTATCCCATAATAGTATTGGGTTTTTCGCTTAACTGGCAATGTTAGAAATTGTTGACCTGAGTCTCACACAGCTCAACATTACAGCATTGCTTTATTTCTTATATTTTGTTTTTATACCTTCATTCTGGATGGTTAAGACCAAGGTAAAGCAGGACCTATGCAAGAAGACTTGTAGCTTTTGGGTCTGATAAGGTCAGTGAAATCCCCTCAGGATTTATCCTGAGATCCTGTACCTCATATTGTAGTACCTTTGTCAGTGTCAGCCATGTGGATGAGTCACGGCCATTGCTTGGCCAATGTACTCTCTGTGAAAGCCTGAGAGAGTGTTTTCTCTCCATGTGACTCTCCTTAGGCACACTCTACATCATCAATCACTTTCCCCTTTGGCTCCCATAATCTCCTTGATCAGAAAATTTCAGAAACTACCGAGTTACATGACATTACAGTACAAGTTCTCATATGTCCTGAGTCTTAATTGACCTTAGAAAGCTTGGCCAAAATGTTGGCTTTCCTTGCAGTCTTCCTTTTTCTCTAATTTTGGTCTACAAACTTAGGTTGTTAACCATCCAGAAGACAAGCTTGTTGTTATTATCCAACAACTTAGGCTGTTAAGCTTAACCTCACTATCTGTCTGCATATCAAACATCTTAGGCATAATATGGAACAAGTATTTTTCACCAAGTATTGAAATGTTGAAGTTGAAGTCCCTACAGAATATGATAAAACATTTAAAAATTAGAATATATTTTTAAAATAGGCAAAAAGAATTATATACTTCTCATGGTTGCACATAAGTCCAAAAATCTCACCATATACAGTCTTGAAGGAGGAGAGTCCCACAATATTCCATTTCCTGTCTCTTGCTTTCCTTCACCACTCCATTCTTCTTGAACAACCTTCTACCTGAGAGATAT